AGGGACTAGAAGTACAAGAACATAGTTTGTTGAAAGTGGCATCACCGTTAGACAGGTGAAGAAGGCATTTAGCATGCTGGCCTTCATCAGTCGAGGCATTGAGTATAGGAGTTGGGACATTATGTTACAGTTGTATAAGTCATTGGTGAGGCCGCACTTGGAGTATTGTGTACAGTTTTGGTCACCCTGTTATAGGAAAGACATAGTTAAACTGTAAAGTGTGCAAAAATGATTTACAAGGATGTTGCCAGGACTAGTAGGCCTCAGTTATAGGGATAGGTTGGCCAGGATAGGACTTTATTCCTTGGAATGTAGGAAAATGAGGAGTAACCTTATTGAGGTGTATAAAATCATAAGGGGCATAGTTAGGATGAATGCATATAATCTTTTTCCCAGGGATGGGGCATTGAAAACTAGAGGGCATTGATTTAAGATGAGATTTAAAGGGCATAGATTTAAAAAAGGACCTGAGGGGCAACTTCTTGACGCAGAGAGTGGTGCATGCATGGAATGGGCTGCCAGAGGAAGTGGTTGAGGCTGGTACAATAGCAACATCCAGAAAAACATTTGGATAGGTAACATGGATGGGAAGGGTTTAGAAGGATATGGGCCAAGTGTGGGCAAATGGAACTAACTCAGTGGATACCAAGGTCAGCATGGACCAGTTTGGGCCAAAGGGCCTGTTTTCATGCTGTATTACTCTATGACTATGACTCTATGAATCTCTATAACTGAGCAGCAGAGATGCAGTAGCAGACCTTTCAGGAGTTATTTAATTAATTCTCAGCAAAAATTCATCCCAGCTAGAAATAAAAGTTCTTTTTGTGAAGCTACATCATCCATAGCTAAATAAGGAAGTTAACGACAGCATCAACACAACAGCAGGAACGTCATCTTGGAATTCCACAAAATGTTGATTAGGCCATAACTAGAGTACTGTGTGCAGTTCTAGTTGCCACAATATAGAAAGTGTGCGATTGCAGTAGTGAGAGTGAGATTTACCAAGATGCTGCTTGGGCTGGAGGGTCTGAGCTTTGAGGGACAGTTGGATAGGCTAGGAGCAACAAATGTTGAGAGGGGACCAGGTTGAAGTGCATAAGATCATTAGAAGCAAATACAGCACTGTTAGGAAAATACTATTTCCATTAAGCAGAGAAGCCAATGACCAGATTCAAGTTAAAAGGTAGAAATCCAACAGGGGAGTTGAAGAGAATTTCTTTTTTCACCCAGTGTGGAGGAAAGCTGGAACTCACTGTCTGACAGGATGGTTTAGTTGGAAACTCTTGGCTATTCACTTGCATTGTCATAGCCTTCAAAGCAATGGACCAAGAGCTGGAAAATTACATTACTGTAGTCAGATTTTTGTTGACCAGCATGGACACAATGGGCAAATGGCTGTAAAAATCTATAAGTCTATATTACACGTCAGTAAATTGGACTGCTATAAGCAAATCTACCCAAGACATCACAGATGGTATGGCAGAAACCAAAATATAAGACAACAGGTTGATTTGCCACTAGCAGTGTCATTTTGGGAGTTCCAAAGAGGCGTCATTTTAAATTCAAAATGTTAACTCTGTTTCTTTCTCCATAGATGCTGCCAGACATGCTGTGTTTTCTCCAGCACTGTTTCCTTTTATTTCAGATCTCAAACACTTGCAATACTTCTCTTCAAGTTGTGTCTTATACTATATTCAACATGACAAGCAGAATGAATAATTGTGACAAGTTCTTGGAAGTGAGGGAAGGATAGTTTGCAGAAGAACCCTGAGCATTACACTATATCTAGTCAGAGTATTCAGGGGGCAATTCTCCCACTAAGCTCAGTTAGGAACAGTATGTATGTCAAACGTCTCCATTTCACTAAGGACATCCTCATCATAATCTACAATCTGTTGCAGCACACTGCAGCCTCAGAGAAGGGCAAGGACCATATTGCTAGTACCTGTGAATATCCCCACTGTCATGGATGTTTATGTCACTTGCAGCTTCTAGGCAGAAGCAGAAGTAGTATTTCCATCATCGTCCCAATCTGCCTGAACTGTTACATAAAGTGAGGCTGGAGTCTGTGTTTCAAGACACCTAAATGTATTTCATTCTCTATTGGCAGAGGAAAGCAAGTGAAGTGAGCTTTGTAAGAATTGCAGGATTCTCCATGGCACATGTGCCACTGGAAGAATGCAAATGTTATGAATATGTCACAGTAAAGACTGTTGACAGGTGAGCCAGGAGGATGATGTATATTGAATATTGTGTGGAGTGAGTAATGTAGCTGGTGGGATGTAATTGAAGATGGATCCACTGATCTTGACTGATCTAGCAACTGACTACTTTTTGGATTACAAATCCAGGTCCCTCGGCTAACCCCCGACACTGCCTTCATGGGGTACGTTTTTTTAATCTCTCCTGCACAGCAGAGAACCTTGAGACCACTTTCTGTTATGTTTTGCCATAATTCAGTGTTGTTCTTGCTTATACTATTTTTTGCAAACAATTGCAGAATCTACTCCAACCAGAATGTATTTCTGCTTTAAGAGGTACAAGCTAACATTAATTAGGAGCTTAAGTGATGCCAGTATCCCACACAGTGGCACAGTGGTTAGCACTGCTGCCTCACAGTGCCAGGAAGCCTGGTTTAATCCCACCCTTGGGAGACGGTGTATGTGGAATTTGCACATTCTTCATGTGTATGCATGGGTTTCCTCCTGGTGCTCTGGTTTCCTCCCACAGTCCAGGTTAGGTGGATTGGCAATGCTAAATTGCCCATAGTGTCTTGGGATATGCGGGCTAGGTGGATTAGCCATGGGATATGCAGGGTTATAGGGATAGGATGGGGGGGTCTGGGTGGGATGTTGTTTGGAGTGTCAGTGTGGACTTGATAGGCCAAATAGCCTGCTTCCACACTGTAGGGAATCAATGATTTATTAACGTCAGCCACTGCTGAGTCATGCAGCCACTTCATACAACAGTGAGCACTGGTGATTATCTTGCAAATCAATAGATAACAAAGTTGCTGGTTTTATAATGCATTATGATACCAGAAGCCTGTATTTTTAAGTCCAGTCCAATTGTTTTTAGACCAAGACCACAGAGAGTGCTAGAGAAACACAGCAGGTCTGGCAACATCAGTAGAGAAAAATAGAGTCAACGTTTCAAGTCCAGTAACCTTTGTCGTCTGATGAAGGGTCACTGGACTTGAAAGGTTAACTTTATTTTCCTCTACTGTTGCTGCCAGATCTGTGTTTCTTTAGCACTCTGTTTTTGTTTCAGATACTCAGCATCTGCAGTTCTTTATATTTTTGTGACCTTGGAATTTGTTCAAAAAGTTAATTCAATATGTGAAGCAATTGTTTGTTACTACTTAATACCACCCCCAATTCTATTTTGAAGTCTTCTTTCATATTTGCCAATAAGTACACATCAACATCAGCCTTGTGTGTTAGGAAAACAAAATAGTAAAGAGGCAGGCAGGGTTAGAAAAGGATCTACCTGTGCTGCCTTGTAAACCATAATTCACACTGCGTGCGTAATCAGTTTTAACCAAACAATCAAATTTAGTGACCTCCAACCATGATTGATTAAATCCAATCTCTCCTTGTGTTGGATACATCAGAATCCCGATTATTCTGATGAAAAGGGAGGGAAGAAAAACTTTAATCATTTATATGGTTTAGTTAGGAAGCAAGTAGTCAATTTCCAGCAGTTGAATGAATCCATTTTCCTGGTTTGAAAATTTCACAAAAAATGATATTACACTTCTTCCTTGTATATGCCTAAAGTTGTTAGCCATTATCGTAACTAAATGGGGTCATTTTCACCAATATTTTTGGCTGATAATGATAAGGAGAGTAAAATGCTCCTTAAATAATGGTGCATGCATTTCTACTAAAACTTGTATTTTCATCATGTTCTTGGACTGAACAAGAGAGAGAGATGACAGTGACGGAGAACATAATATTTTACATTTCTGTCATCCACTGTGTGCAGTAGGCACTCTAAAGCCAAGAATTAATATTGAAATAGAAAGATCTATTCTATATACATCAGTTTGGAAGACCATCTAATTTCCACAGGTACATTTTACCATTTCCTAACTCAGATCCGAAAGATGAAAGGATCGGATTTTAACCATCTCGTGATTTTGTCAATTCAGTTTCATATCCTGTTGTCTGTCTTCATCAAGATAGTAATAGGTTGTTTGTGAAGTTAACAGTGGATTAGGACTTTTAAATAAAAATGCAATAAACATTCAAAAACAGTCAATTAAAAAAATCAAAAACATGCATGAATCAATTGAATTATGCATTTGAACATCCAAAATAAAGTCTTTTTTCCAACTGAAAAAGCTCTATATTTTAGGCTGATATGAAGATATTGGAGCAGAATTAGGCTATTCAGGCAATCAAGTCTGCTCTGCCATTTGATCGTAGCTGGTATGTTTCTCAATCCCATTGTCCATACACGGTAGATGGATGTGTGATGTGCACCATTATCAAAATAGGTTATGTTGTCAATCTATTTAAACAACTCAGTTGGTAGTAACTTTTGTTTGTATATCAAAAAAATCATCATGTCAAGGTTGAATCCAACATTTTTATCATCTATTTAAATCATGAAAATTAATGGACATTTTTACCATAAACGCAAAAGACTCTGGACGCTGAAAATCTGAAAACAAACAACAAGTACTGGAAATACTCAGCAAGTCTGGAGCATTTGTGGAGTGAGTAACAAAGTTAACATTTCAAATGAACTAACAGTCTTCTTCAGCAGAATGAATGTTAACTCTTGTTTGTCTCCCCATTTATGCTGCCAGACTTGCTGTGTAGTCCATGTCCAACACTGTTTTACTTTTGGGCGTTTTTAACAGTGCCATAAGATATCCAGCATACAAAACTGATTTTTAAAAAACTAAGTCTATTAAAATACAGCTGGATATTTCATTTCAAAATACTAGACGGAACAAATTAAACATACTTATTACTTTATAATAAACTTACCACCACCACGAGTGTAAGAATCCTGGTGGTTCTCCTAATGTAATATTTTTCTCCCATCGTATCTAAAAAACAAATTGAAGTCATACCATTGCACCAAAATGTACACTATAATTTGCAATAAAAATCCATTTATATAGCAAAAATGTAATATAATGAAAGATCTCAATGCACAAAAGCATTACAAGTTAGTCATTGAGCCACGTTAGGAGTCATTAAGTCAGATGATCAAAAGGCTGCTCAAAAGCACAGGTTTTAAGGAGTGCCTTAAGAATGAAAGTAAGGTAGTGAGGCAGAGATATATATGGAAGCAATTCATATATATGAATTGGGGCGGAGGCTACGGAGGGCACAGCCAAATGGTCAAGCTATTATAACTGGGAATGCATAAGAGGCCAAAATTAGAGAAATTTAGATAAAGGTCCAGAAGAACAATTAAAAGTAATGTCCAAAATACGTAAAACCATCCAAAAATGTGATCTTCTACAACACTGAAATATTAAATGTGCATCCACATTTGTTTTAAATTCATTGTCTTTCTTCAATATAACATCCCATGTAACCAGTATATATTTGTATATTTCAATTTACATCAGACTTTAAATATCCACCTCCTTATACTAGTTTAAAATTAGCTCCCAAAGTGACTGGATGCAAACCGAAATCTCCAATTTCACACTGCCTCTGAGTATCACAGTACAATTGCCAGTTTGCAACAGTCTAGCACATTGAGAGGCTTCTGCGGTGATTTGGAAAGTTCTATGCAAATTAAACAAAATTCAGCTCCAATGATTTGCAAATTAAGTATCAAGTCCTTCAAATTTTTATTTAAGCTGACAAGGTTTAAAAATCATTCCAACTTATTTTAACAGCGATGAATAACAGGCATAGTATGTAATTTAAAATGCATTCAAAAGAGACATTCCATTTAAGGCATATTCTATTCATTTATTATACAAGATAGAATCTACAAGTCCACAAGGGCTGAAAATTCATAATGAACAGAACCAAAAATTCACCAGGCTTGAAGGAATGCTCACCTCTGATAAAAATGTTTGTGCTGATTTTTGTGCTCCTACATGGAGTAGATATTCATATACATACAGTGCTAACCTGCAAAATAAACAAAATTATTGCACTGCTTTATCAATTTTCAATAAATAAAACTTTCAACTTAAAAACTAGCTGCACAACCATGCTCTAGTCATCTCAGTCACGGTCTTATAACAATGTTCCCGTATGAGAAAAATAAGACATTTTAATGCTTTCTTTATAAAATAAGATATGACAGTAGCCAACAAGTAAACATTGTGTACTGATGTAAAAGGTAAATAAAACTGCGATGTCTTGAATTCTGAGTTAATAGACACAATTTTATCAAAAATGAACATAAATTTTGCACCTTAGTTAAATTCCAGTGTTCACTTTCAACTTTCATGCAATTTACATCCATGTATAACAAATTAATTCAAAAACCACTTTTTATAATTGAGGAAAAAACTGAGTCAGAAGTTGTAAGGGAAAATAATCAGCACTTGAAACTATTGCCCAGAAAGCATTCCATGAAAGGAGAAGCAAGTATCGCCTACCCAAAATGTTGAAAGCTGAATTTATCCACAACATATCAGAATAAATTCAGAATGTTACAACGGTGCTGGTGACTTATTAGATTTTGTTGATGGTTCATCATCACTGAAACAGAAACTTACTGAAAAATAGTGGTAAAAATGGCATTATGCTTTTGTGATAAACACCTGCCAATTTAATTTGGTAAAAAGGTGCCTCTCATGTTTTCTGGTGTTTTCAGTGACATACATTTAATCCACGTGGATTAAATCTACTTGAAAATTCAACAGGTTTATGAACAGCTTAGAATATCACGTGCAACCACTATGCATGCAATCTCCTTCAAGCTTTGCTTCTGTACATAGCAACTGATCATGTAGTTTATATTCTGGCCCTTGGTTTATGATCATATCAAGCTCTTAAAGCAACACATCTCTTAAAGCAATACCATTAATCAGTGTGCTGTAAAATCAAATTTTCAATCAAAAATATATTTTCCAAAAAAAAAAATCATGTTCATACCATGAATAAAATGCATGTAACGCTACTGTTCTGTGGGAAGAGGGCACAAGAATGCCACTGTTCGGTCACGAAACTCTGGTACACGTGCAATAGAAGACCCTCCCTATGTCTAGCAGAACAATAAAGATTATAATGCCATGGTATGACTTCTGCTCACATGCTGATCTTTCAAGTGTGTTCGACAATGTCCATTTCATTGGAGATTTCTACAACAAGCAAACAAATTCCAAGAACAGTTTATTTTGCCAAGAACCAAAACACAAAACAAATAAACACACACACTTCCCTCATCTTTCTGAGTCTACCTTTACCAAGACCCCTTGCTACACTTCAAGTATGCCAGCAAATAAATAATATATTCCCAGACATTAACTAATTTCAAGTTCATTGCCATTTGTTCCAATTTATGCAATACTACCTTTATCAACATCTAATTATTTTCAATCATACCAGGTGGTTTGCTTCCATAATTCTGTCTGGAAGTTTATTCCAAATGATCTGTATTTTAAAAAGTACTTCCAGACATTTCTGAAACTACTTTTACAAATTTTATTGTGTTCCCTAGTTCTATTAATTTAATATTCTATTGATTTTCAATTAATTTAATATAATATTCCATTCTAACATTTTCTATACAATGAATAACTTTTTACACCCCTCAGTTTAGTTCTGACTTGATCTTTTTTCCCCACCAAGTTGAATGACCCAATTCCTCCAGTTTCTCATGTGCTTAAATGTCTGTCTGACTTTTTGGTTATCACTTCTGGAATCAGTTTTTAAAGATGAGTCCAGCTAGAGCAATTACAATGTAATTACAATTTCCTGACTAAAACTATGTTATTTTGACTACTTAACATTTTATTTTTGCTTGTGGCATTGCATTGGTTGGACACATTTAGCACTGAAGTTGTTAATGCCCATAGATACGTACCAGCTTGATCGAAGGTTTTGTTCACACTTCATGTTGTGAACATATCATCTATTTTCCTTCCTACATTTATATTTGAACTTCTCTGCATTAAAGATCGCAATTTTGCCAACTTTATTTCTTGCATTAATCAATCTACAATTTCTTTACTGGTCCCATAGTTTCCATTGTCCCTCTTAGTTTGATATATTTCACAAATTTGATCACTTGAATGTAGGTCATTCAAGTCTTTGTCTTTTTCCTACGTTTCATCCAGAAGATTATCCATTTCTATTTTTACCTTTACTGTGGAACTTATCTGATGTCTTTTGCAAGTCAGAGTACACCACCTCACACACTTCCCACAGTGCACTTGTGTGTTCACTTTGCCAAACAAAAATCAAGAAAGTTCATCAGCTAGGACCTTCCCCTTCCAAATCATTGCTGACCACTTTGGGGGTAAAAAGGAAAGCAGAGCTCTGGGATAACAGTAACAGGAGGGATTAATCAAAAAGCTTTACTGAACAAGCATGGTCACAATAGGACCAAATAGTCTCCTTCTATGTTGCGTGGCTATTATTTTTCTTTCATCCAAAGATGCTTTTACACGCTTCTGAACACTTTCACCTGATCAGCTGATTTTGCCGTTTGGTTCTATTATTCTACGAATGATATTGCACATGATCAGTTTTACTCCCTACAACCAAATTCATTAATTTACACAGAATGGAATAACAGTTCCCTGTCCATTACATCAACTATATTGAATATTTACAAGAATCTTTTGACAATCAATGTCAGTTGACATCCTCCCACATTCGTCATCAGTGTCTCACAAATTTCTTTGCTTGTCTCTCTTGACCCTCCAGGATAAATATCATCTAAACCAATAGACTAACTTGTGAATGAATTTAAAAGGCCTTAAAACAACTTATATCTTACCAGATTTAAGTAATTAATTTTATTTGAGAAATCTTTGATGAAGGCATGTTGGTATGAATGCTCTTTTGACTGTTTTAGAGGAAGTAGTCAGAGAATCTTGATCTCATTGTCAGTTTCCAGGTCCTTTTTACCTATCATTTTAATCTCTTCTTTGAAAACCAGAACTACAATGGGGCAGTCAAAGTTTCTTTTAGATGGTCATTGTCTCGTTTTAGCACTAGGCTCTTTTTTTCCCCCAAATCACTGATCAACCATGGAGGGTCATAGTTCCTGAGACTGAATGCATTCTATTTGGGAATGAATTTATTCTTCATGCTCAGTACTTTCCTTTAAAGGCATCTCACATATTTTAGAGTGAAGTGCTTAGTCCAGTCATGTTCCATAATGAAGTTTAGTACGTTTCTCGAAAGCCTTTTTTAAAGACCAGTACAATTTCTTCCACATGTATTAATAGAAACAGGATCAAACCGCACAAAGTCTAGCATTCGTAGAAAGCAGACTCAATTTCACAACAACTAAGGCACAAGGACAAGAGTAACAAGTGAATATGAATGAATACAGAATAGGTTATAGATGGCAGAATTCTGGTTAAGTTCAGAGTTGATGTAATGACAGCATATGTGACCAGTTGTTCTCTTGGCATTTATTTTTTAGTAAGGTTGTACTCTTTGGTTGCAGGCCGATTTGGCGGGTAATCAGAGCACAACAATCTGTGATTAGCTTCCTCAGTGGAAGTGAAGGTGTAGTCACTGCTGCAGAAAACTGGATCTATCCTTCTCCTCCTTTTCTGTATCATGCTGGTTCTTCACTCATCTCAAAAAGGTGTCTAACTCTTACAACGATGCATGTCTGAGCATCACTATCCATGACCTGGGCTACCCACTGGTGATGATCGATGTGACACAAAGGGATTTCTTCAAGGAGTCCTTGATACATTTACTTTGTTTTATTTACCAGCAGTCAGCTCTCCGTACAACACTATTTTGGGCAGGTGATGGTCACTCATTGGGCAACATGACCCAACCAACACAATTAGCTTTGCAGGAGGAAGCTTCAATGCTGTGATGCCAGCTGTTTCCAGGACTTCAATGTATATGATGTGGTGCTGCCAGTGGACCTTGAGAATGCTGCATAGGCAGTGTAGAGTTTATCAACTTAGCTGTTTGCTTTAGAAAGCTTATTGTACATTTCCTTGCTTGTGGTGGATTAAACAAGATGACTCCTCAGATATGTAAATTGCTTGACACATTCCCCTTGATGTTCTTGGGATGTAGGTTGATTCTTTATGATGATTTCTTAGTCTGAAGAGTTACGCAGTTTTAGAAAAATGAGCTACAAAAACAGAAGCTGCTAGAAAAGCTCAGCAAGTCTGGGAGCATCTGTGAAGAAAAATCAAATTGAACATTTCGGGTCCGGTGACCCTTTCCTCAGAAAATGAGCTGTTGTACGCTGCGAGTCTGACTGACTGGAGTCCACTAGATCACAGTCATCGGTGACAAAAAAGGTCATGGTTGAGATTTTTGTGCGTCTGCCTGAAGATGCCCTAAAAGCTTAAAAGGCCTCCATCAGTTCAAAAGCACATACAGTCTCCCTCCTTTAGGTCACCTGTTGCTTGCTACCACATCATGCTGAACAGGGTAGTGAATGAAGACAAAGTTACTACACATGTCCACTTCACATCATTGCAGATTTGGAAGGGATTCAAGAGGTCACTGTTGTGCTCAAACTTGTCCATACTGATTTTCATGAAACTTCTACCATGATCAGGAACCTCAGTGGGCATCCAATTTTTCAAGGATCTTCTAAAGTCCATCTCAGCTTAGTGTCAAAGGGCAGTTACAAGCCTGTTCCGAGTTGATATGGCAAAGGTCTTTCTAGCAATACAGATAGTGATCTCACTTAAGACGGAGGATTCAAACCCTTCTCCCTTATTTCTGTACAAGGTTACGATAACAATATCAGGAAGGTCCTATGGAATTTGCCTTGGTTCCCAGCAATTCATTAAAACCTCAAGGAGATTTTGGTATGAAGGATGGGCCATCATGTTTCAAGGTTTGGTGGAATTGATACAATTCTGTTTTTTGTTGCTGATTTTGTTGCTGTTCCTCTGGTTGATGGCAATCACAGTTTCCACCTAAATTTGGTATCATCCATTCCTTTTTTTTGACAGGCTGTT